GCTGTTTTGTCAGGTAAAAAACAGTGCAGCGGCAGAGGGCTTGGTGATGGCAGCATTCAACATTCCAGCGTCTCAAGTCACACCACCCAGATTGCCATGGTGGCTTCGAGAAGCCCGTCCTCTTTTCACCTAATCCCAGAGATTCCTTTCCCTTGTCTCCTGTGTCTTAGAGGACATCCTCCTGTGTGTCCCGAGAAAAGAGTGTGAGACCCCTGCTGTCTGAAATGTCTGTTCTGCTGTCACACTTCCGGGATGACTGGATTGGGGAAAAGGTTCTAATGGGAGAATTCTTTTTAAGAATTTCAAGGCTGTTGCTCCTTTGCTTGCTTTCATCATTTACATTGAGCAGTCTGAAGGCATTCTGATTCCTGAAACTTAATAGCATCACTTTCTTGTTTCATGAAATTGGTAACATCTCTGTACATTAAGTCTGTTTCCTCCAGGTTGTGTTTTGTTGGGCTTAAATGATTTATTTGTCTCTCTCTTCCAAGTGAGACACTTCTCTTGGGTGTCTGTGGTCTTTGTTTGTCCTTTCAGGGTTAGGAACATGAGCCAGAAAACTGAAAACTCTGAGGACAATGGTGGGCTTGTTGACTGGGACCGACACTGGTTCACCTGATGAGCCATTCTAACACCCTATGGGTTCTGGTACCAGCATCTGTATCCTCAGGTTTTTCTCCTTGGACTGATTAGGTTCCCCAGAGAAAACCAGGATCTGGCTGCCAGTGTTCTAGAAGCACAGGGGAGGGATGGCCAGGGAGGACTTACCATTAGCATGTAAATGATCTCTTTGGTTTTGGTATACAGCCCTGGCTCTGGCCCTCGCTCTCTTGACTGTTCCAGTCAACTCTGCCCAAAGACCCCGGCTTTGTGCTTTCCAGAGAATAAACATTCGGATTGCAGAGTGAGGTGAATCTGGGGAGTTTACTTCTTTCACCCAGTCCTCTTTATTTTCAAACATCATCACTTCACTGGAGGTGCCTGGTGCGATCAGGCCAGGTGCCTTTGAAGGACCCTGTTATACATATATATTTTTCCATTTTTTTAATTAATTTATTTTCTTCTATCATTGTTTGTTTTTCTACAATACTTGATTTTCTCCTCAGGTGTAGCCTACCACATAGTACCCGTGATCCATCACCATAGTCCCTGGTGCTCTTCCCTCCTCTGTTTTGATCCCTCTCCCTCCCCTTGCTCTGCTGTATGCCTCAAATCTGTGGTCAGTTTGCAAGTTTTGTCTTTTTTCCTGACCCTATGTTTGGTTTTCCTGTATTTCCCCTATAAGTGAAACCATCCAATATTTATCTTTTTCCTTCTGACTTACTTTGCTTAGAGTAATCCCTCTCAGCTCCATACATGTTGCTGCAGACAGCATCCTTTTTGATCACTGAGTAGTATTCCACTGTGTATATGTATATGTACCACGCCTTCTTGATGCATCTCTTTGGGCCATTTAGGTTGTTTCCATATCTTAGCTATTGTAAAAAATGCTGCAATAACATAGGAGTGAAGGTTTTAAGGACCCTGTTATAAATCAGGCTTCGTAAGTATGCTTTCCAGACCCCTGCATTTTCTTGAGCAGCCTAGTCTAGTGCCGTTATATCTTCTTTAAAGGCCTTTCTCCTAAGTTGCATTTAGCAGGTAGTGGATTTGCTGTGTATGTTCACACACCCCATGATAATTTCAAAAGGAAATCCTGATGATGGTAACTGTTGCCAGTTGTGATACCGAGACATTTTTGTGAGGGATTCCTTAAAAAATTTTTTTTTTTAACACTTTTTTTTTTTTTATAGAGGCATGTTTTATTTATTTGTTTGTTTGTTTATACAAGCACTGGGTACAGTCAGAAGCGCGGGAGGGTGAGAGAATTCACCAGAGCCAGAGCGGGGAGCAGAGCAGGCAGAAGGACCGAAGTACACTGCTGAGGGGAGCAGCGGGCGGCAGGAGAGGTCTGCGCGCCCTGTGGGACCCTCCTCCGGTGGCCGGGGAGCAGCCGGGGATCGAACCGGCTCTGCAGAGGCCGCGGGCAGCCTCGCAACCCAGCGCCCAACCGCTGCGCCACCGGGGAGGCCCGATTCCTTAAAAAATTTTGAAGTTGTTGTTATAAATATTATTCACGGCCACTGTGGAGGGTAAACATATAAGGAAGAAAATAAAAGCTAAACATATAAGGAAGAAAATAAAAGCTGCTGGTCATGGGCGCCGTGTGCTTGGCAAGGATTTTTCTTTGGTGCCAGTTTGCATGGTGTGGCCTGAGGCCTGGGTGGGGAGGAGGCCTTGATGTCAGGAGCAGATGTTGGACTGTGCTTGGTGTTTGGGGAAGGACCCCCATGGTGGACAGGGTACACCCCTCACCTGGGCTGCTTGAGAGAAGGAGGTTCCTGAGGGCTGACGGGAAGTGCTGTGGGAAGCAGAATCTGGACCTGCCCCTCACAGTGAGCTCCTGGCGTTGTTGTGCACGGTCTGCCCAGCCACGTGCTGGGTGGTTTTCAATGTCCGCGGGTGATTTTGAGGGACACTCACTGACATACTGGTCCATGGAGTAACACAAAGGCCCCTGAAGACGGGCCCAGGTCAGTTGAGTTTTCTGTGATGACAGTGTATGCCGCTCAGATATTAGGGTCTTACATGGAGGGAGTGAGGAGGAAGAGTGGTGTTGCATGTGGCGGGGAAAGGGAGGAGGAAGAGCATTTCTTTCCTTTTTGGGGTGTCTCTACTTGGGGTCAACGCCTTGTCATGTTTGACCTTTTCCTCCTGCTTCCTTCCTCTTCTCACTGGCAACCAGTAGCAAAAGCTGAAAGTGTTTTTTTTCCCTCACAGAAGCCTCCTGCATATTTCTAGGCCTTAGGGCAGCACTGAAACAAACATCTGGCAGGGAGTAATCCACTTCTGACTTTGTGCGTGGGTCTCAAGTCTCAGGTTAGGGACCCTCGCAGCTGCTGACCACGTCCCAGCCTTGTCTGCTCTCCCTCTTTGCCCTTGAGGCCTGCAATAGTAAGGCAGGGCAGAGCCCAGCCCAAGCCAGAAGATCATCTAATCAAAATCCCCCATTACACTCATCTAGTCCAGCTCCCCCATTTCACTGATGAGGAAACTATGGGCCAGATAAGCCCCAGTCAGGAGCAGAACCCACCTCTGCTGACTTTGGGGTCAGTGTTCTTTCCCGCCTGACTCTGCCTCTCTTCGTTTCCGCCTCCTTTTAAAGGTTTTGATGTGGGGGCGAAGGGGGATGTTTGTGCTGACACCTGAGGGGGGCCGTGAGGAGAGTCACTGACTAAGGGCAGCTGGAGGCCTCCAGGGGCTCAGAGTTGGACTAGGTCTCTAATGGGCCCTCATAGTTGTTTTGTGCGGTGGTCTCAATTGGGGGGTCAGGCTTGATAGAGACCTCCTCAGCCTTAGCGTTGAAGATCTGGGTTCAAGCCTCCGCCTTGACATGGAATGTGGACAGATACTCAACTTGTAGAGCCTTAGATTCAACTGTGAACTGGGGGAGCGGTAGCACTAGTAGCGGCCCAGTGAGGAAGGCCCATCACACGCTCAGCACAGACTCCGACCCCGGAGCCCCTCTCACTGCTGCCATCTACTCACTGTGTTTGTGGGCACAGACATGCAAGGAGCCCAGCACTGTGTTAAGAACACCTCCAAAGGTGTGCGCTACACCTGGGCTCACCTCTGGGCTGCTTTCCATCTGTCTGGGTTTTCACTTAGAGCACTTCTCCTGTCCTGGCCCTACATGGCTCCTCCCAGCTCCAGTGCCCTCCTCCATACCAGGGACAGAGCCAGGACTGGGCCACCCACCTCCTAGCCAGGCACCCACCCTAGAGAAGGGGCTGCACCCTTGGGAGACCCAAGCCTGTGCTTTCTCTGGTTCCTGGTTTTCCAGGGAGCCTTGGCTGGAGGGGGATGGGAGAAGAGGCTCAAGAGGGAGGGGGAGCTGGGGAAAGCAGAACCGGGAACTGAAAGGGGAAGGGTGTGGGTGGGCCCAGATCCAACCTGCCTCCCACTTTCCTTCTCCTGCCAATCTCTGGCGCTCTGGAGGGGTTTGGCCAGGTCTCCTCCTGGGGTGGGGAGCAGGAGAACTGTTTCTGAGTGAAGAGAGTTGAAGCTGCAATACTCCCACCCCCAGCTGAGGCCCGAGGCGCGCAGGCTTTGTTATTTCACTGGCTTGAGGCCCACACCTGAAGCAGGGAGGGTGAAAAGCCCCTAAAATTCAGCTTTGTGGGTTAGTAGGGCTTCCTCAAGCCCACCAGTTTCCGAAGGCAAATGGGGCTATTTAATGGGGCGGGGGCAAGAGCGGCCTCACCTCCTCCCTCAGTGTGGCCTGGGCTGTGGCCTCTACCTTCCAGGGCGGGCTCTGACAGCTCTGTAACCCCAGGCCTTCAGCCTGGCCACAGCCTGAGTACAACCAAGCTTTCTGCGGGCCCAGGCGCTGGTCCTAAAGTGAGGTGACATTCATTTCACTACATCCTGTGACTGACGCTCACTTCCTCCACGTGGTGGGAGTGGTGTGGGGGTGGGGGCGTGTGGGGAGGACAGATTAGAAGGAAAATGTAGCCTGTCTGGGACCTCTGGGATTTCCCAGGGGGGTGGCTGGGGTGGGAGGGAGGGTGCGGGAAGCTTTCAAAGGAAAGAACAGACATGAATGAAGAGAAGGGAGGAGGTGGGAGGCAACTGGAAGTCCCAGAAGTGGCACCCACTGTACCACAGCAACGCAGAGGCCTGGGGAGACTGTTGCTGCCTCAGAGGCAGGAGGCGACCTGAGGGAAATCAGCAGGTGTTGTGCCAGCCAGCCAGCCGAGCCTGCCTCAGTTTCCCTGCCCTCCAGGGGGCTGGGCTGGCCTGAGTTGCCGGTGAGCTGGGAAGGGTGGGATTGGAGGATAGGCCTCACAGACCACCGTGGTCCTGGGTAGAAGGCCTTATTCCAGGGGGTATGGGGAGTTAGTTGGGACCTGGGTTTGGGGGTGCCCTGCCCTGCTCACCCCTTTTCTCTTTCCCTACAGGTGGAACCATCAGAAGCCAAAAATCACAGGCAGCCTGAGGCAGTTTCACTGGAGGGCTCAGTACCAGGATCTATGTCTAAGTTTTAACTCTCGCTTACAAAGACCACGATAATTCCTTCCCCAAAGCCAAGCAGTCCCCCAGCCCCGCACAGCCCCAGCCTGCCTCCCACCACCCAGCTGCCCGCAATGCCCTCCAGCGGCCCCGGGGACACCAGCAGCTCCGCTCCGGAGCGGGACGAGGACCGCAAGGTGAGCAGCTGACCACCCCTGGGGAGGGAAGGGCACCCAGGGAGGGAAGGGCCCTTCTCCAAGTAATGGCAGCTCAGCTGTGCTCAGTCCTTGCACAGGCTGTGGGGAGAACTGGCGTCTTACTCTGGCCATGAGGAAACAGGCTTGAAGAGGTTAAATCCTGGTGGTGGAGCAGGAGTTGGAGCCCAGCAGTCAGGCTCCTGGACCCAAGCGCTTAGAACCCCCAGAGCTGTGTGGTTGGGAGGGGTCAGACTTGCAGAGGGAGGGTCCCTGACTTGACCCCTGTGGGGGTCAGCCTCTTACTAGCTGCCCTCCTGTTTAGTGTTCGGTACTTTCTGGGAGGCCAAAGACAAGCTTTGTGTGTGGTGTTGGGTGGGGGAACGCTAGACACGAGGCTGCCAGCAGGCGGGCTCCCCCTCCTGCACAGACACGCAGGCACACTGCAGTCCGCTGGGTGACGCCAGGCTTGTGGAGATGATGATTTCCTGCCCCCACCCCCAACCAAGACTGTGTCACTGCTGATCATGGAACTGGTGACCTCCTTGTCTGCAGAGCCCCATGGGGTGAGCTTTCTGCCGAACTCCAGGAGGAGCACAAGTCAGTTAGGACATCACAACTGGAGCCCTACTGGGTCTGGATCGGCTGCCTGGGGACAGGCTGTGTCATCTGCAGGCAAAGCCCCACTCGTGCAACACCTAGGCCCTGCTTCCCTTCCCCCATCCGTGGAACTCCACTGTTGCCCTTCTGGGGAGGCCGTGATGGCCACCAGCCTTCTTAGGGTGTCCTATCTTTTGTCCCTTTGTCCCCACAGTTTCCTGCATGTTCTGCTTCCCCTGAGCGGGGTGAGGGGTGGTGGTAGGTGTTGGTAGGTGGTGTCTGGGAGTAGCAGAGCATGCTCATGAGGCACCGTTCACCCTTCTGGAACCAGCATGGATGCGGGGCACTGGGGCACTCAGGAACATCAGCTCACCTGGGGCGACTCTGACATCTCTCCCTGCTCACCCCCCACAGGTGGGCTCGGCCATGTCCTGGGCTGGCTTATCCTTAAGAGTGTGGCTCCGTTTTCGATCCGTTTGGGGATAACCCTTCCAACAGTGGGGCAAGCACAGGCGGCCCTAGTTTACAGATGAGGAAGCTGGGCCCCGGACTTGGCAGCAGGTCTGGATGAGAGCCGGATCTCTGCCTACCGGATCAGAGCCTCCCCCCTCCCCACTTGGGTCCTGGTAGGGACACACACACGCATGCGCGTGAAGCCCAGACGCTTAACTTCCCAGCCTGAACCCTGCAGAGTGCAGTGGGGTGTGCACCCAGCAAGCGGGGGAAAAAAATGCATGCTGTGGTCACTGGGCAGGGCTCATAGGGGTACAGCTCAGTCCCTTTTTGACCCCATCGAAAAAGAACAGACAGTTGAGGTTATACCCCTGGCCTTCTGGGCTACCCCCGCCTGGGATGCCGCCTATCGCTATAGTGTCAGGCCCACCTGCGGCCACCTGTGCTCTCGAGTGACAGCTGTGGCCGTGGATAATTCCCTCCCCTCTGTGAGCCTGGCTTTGCTTCACTGTTGGATTAGGTGACCCTGCCCCCTCCTGCCTATGTCCTCGCTGGTGCTGACACAGCTCTACTTCCACACACTTGCAGTTTGGGTCAGCTGCCTCCCGCCGTGGGGAAGGTGGGACAGCCAGGCCAGTCTCCTTCCGTTGCCGCACCCTGCACCCGGGGCAGCAGAGCCCGCTACCTCCCGAGAGCAGCGCCCGGGCCCTCTGTTTAGGGCAGAGCAAGCATGGCATCAGGGGCCAGAAGTGCCAGGTCCCAGGCTCATGATGCTGCTTTCTGTAGCTGTGACTCCAGGCCCTCTAGGCTCGTGTTTGTGCGGCTGTGAAATGGGGCTCCAGCTCTAGCTGCGCCTGTTTTACAGGGTGGTTGTGGAAGTCAGATGAGGTCATGGGCAGGGAAGTGCCCTGCAGACAGCAAAGTCTGGTCCAATTATGAGGGATTATGACTGCTATTATTACCGACGCATAGTAACTGCTCTGGCTCAGGCAGCAACAAACACACACCCAGCCCCAGATGCCACCGATAGAGGGGCCGGGCACGGCGGGCGCTCCGCCCCAGCCGCCCACACCCACAGGGCGCATGCTGGCTCACCTGGCACACTCCCGGGGGAGCTGCCCGGGAGGGCGGGTAGAGACACTGACAGCCGCCCACGGCAGCCCGTGAAAGCCAGGCCTGGGGCAGAGCGGCCGCGTAGCTGCAGAAGGGAAGACAGGCTTGGGCTGCAGCCCAAAGAACCTGGCAGAGTTGCCAGGAGCACCTGGCACAGAGGAACTGTTTGGTGAGCCAGAGGGAAGGGGTGTGGCCTCCTACTGGCCCCTTCCCTGCCTGGCCTAGCCCCACGTGCCCTTCCAGCCTCCATGTCCCTTTACTTCCTGGAGCGGCCAGGCCTTTGTTTATACTGTTTCCTCTGCGCGTGCTGTCCCTGCATTTCTCTCCTCTCCAATCCAAGCCCTTGCTTCAGTTCCCGGGGGATGAGCCGTTCTCAAAATCTATTCCCTAGACCAGCAGCACCAGTTGCAAACACCCCAGACCTGCTGAATCAGATGGGGCTTTAGCAGGCCCTCTAGAAGAGTGAAAAGTGCTATGTGGATGGTCCCCGGCCCACTGCTGTTCCTGGAGGGCATGGCCCCAGTGGTTGAGCCCCCTGTGCATCTTCAGGGCCTGGACTAGCACAGAGTAGGTGCGCAGGAAGTAATTTGTGAGTAGATGGGAAGGAAGATGAGAGCAGAGAAGATCCCTCCTCTGCAGAATAATCCCAGAGCCCGGAATCAAGCAGGCAGGGTGCAGAGCTGTGGGTGATGGGCAAGATGGCCACATTTGTGTCAGGAAACACAGAGAAAGATCTCTGTAGGTGGGGGGTCCTCTCTCTCTGCAGCCTCCTCCATTATGCCATCCACATGGTGGGCAGGAGGGTGGCTGCTTGGGAAGGTGGGGAGGAGTCTGGTTTTGGGTAAATGTGGCCACAGCAGAGGGAGGGGAGCTAACTTTGTGGGAGATGGATGGGGAGCTGCAGTCCTGGCTTAGAGAGGATCATGGAGGTAGGTGCCAGGTGCTGTGTGGAGAGGAGGAAGAGCGTAGAGGGAGCAAGAAAGGAGACCAGGAACATTCCAAGCCTGTGGCTGCAAGGACCTCCTCAGGTCCCCAGATATGAACTAGACCCTGGCCAGGAGCTCAGGCCTCAGCTGGCCCCTGATTCTGTGTTCCGCCTTTCCTCTGGCCCGGGTGACTCTGGCCAACACACAGTGAGAGCTGACTGTCTGCCAGGCGCTCTTTGAAGCTCCACTCTTGCATTGTCTTGCTCTATTCTTGCAACTCCTCCATAAGGTAGGTGCTCTACATTATTCTGTCTCATGAAAGATGCCTTCACTGCCCTTGAGTGCCCGCAGGGTCACTTAGGGTTGGCTCTTGTCTGTGCAAGAGTCATAATAGGGGTCGTTTAAGTGTCATCCCATTTAAGCAGCTACAGAAGCAGCAGCTCTACCTGCCCTCTTCAGGAACACTCTTGTCAGATGACATGTCCATTTTTAGCTGGGTGGAGTCTGCTGGCTGCCTGGCACACGGTGCAGGGACGTAAACACTGCCCACGCCTGAGCTGACCGTGTTTAGCGTCAGGCTCTCTGAGTTCAATGTTATGACATGTGGTCCGCACAGTCTCGAGTGGGAATCCCTGGGCTCTGGAGACAGATTGTGTCTGAATCTAGTCTCTCAGTGTACTTCAGCTGGGTGCCCCTTGCAGAGCAATGAGAGGCTTCCGCGGAATGGTGTGTGTGCGTCTGTGGCCTGAGCTCCAGGGACCAAGCGTGTGTTGTTAGTCATGATTTATTTAGGATAACTTATCTAGATCTGTCTCTTTCTGTCAGCCTGCCTACTGACCTACCTACCCATCTACCTACATCTGCTACAGCCCTAGGGATCGCAGGGGCATAGGAGGAGAGTGTGGAAAACGCAGGAGGGGGTGAATGGCATGGGTTTAAAGTCTGCTGGAACCCACACGCGGAAGGAAGGTTGTTTCTCTCCGGTCTGCAGGTGTAGGCAGGCCTGATCTCCTATCTCCCCTCACCCATCAAAAAGAAGCAAAGCCAAGGCAAGTGGCAGGAAGCCCTAACTTTGGAGGGCAAAGCTGTGTCCACTTTAGAGACCGAGGTGAGGGGCCACGGCTGGGCCCTAGGTCGCTTGGGTCCCTCACACCCTCAACGGCCGGTCTAAGGACGTAGCCCATCCCTGCCCACAGGGCCTGGCGGGGAACTGAGCTGAGTAGGTATCTTAGGGTGGCTGAGAAGTGGGGAGATGCCCTTCTTTTCTGGCACTTTTCTTTTCTGGCACTTGGACTGGGCACCTGGTCATGCCCTGCAGCTGGCTCTGTGGAGCACCACAGGGCATTACTCAGAATCGTCCCATTCAACGTTCCCACAACAGGAAAGGGCATGTAAAGGAGTTTCCTTTGTCTGGCATTTAACTTAATCTTCACAGTCACCCAGGAAGGGTCTGTGTCATTGCCTCCATTTCACAGATGAAGAGTTGAGCCTTAGAGAGGTTAAGGTTAAGTCTTAGAAAGGTCACTTGCTACGAAGTTGTTTCATCTGGAGTCTTTGTCTCTATCAAGCAAGGGTCCCCAGGGGTAGAGGGTGGGGGAAGGATCAGACTGTGCAGAGCCTGGGTGGGCAGCTGAAGGAGAGACTATGAGTAGGCCTGGGGCCTGCAGAGATGGCTGCTAGCAGGGTGGTGGGCTCAGTCCCTCTGGCCCTTGGCGCAGTGTCAGGAACTCATTGGTTAACATGTCTTCCCCTCTAAACCGAGTTCCCTATTTGCTTATCTTTATATGCAGTACACAGTAGGTGCTCAATAAATATTTTTTAGCACACCCACAGGACTGGTCTCACAGTTGCCCCTCCACCACCAAGGTGACCCTGCTGGGCTGCCGTGTGTGTGTGTGTGTGTGTGTGTGT